GAAATACAATGAGGGGGGGTCATCAAGGCTGATACAAGCAGGCACCTGCCTGTACCCAGGTTGTTAAACTAGACATACACCTCCCTAAACTCTGAACATGCTAAGTATCTCCCACCACTCTGGCCATGCTTCCAGGATAACCCACCCCTGATCCAGAGAGCAAACAAAAGACAGATGCCTGGCTGGTGGGGACCTCGAGGGCTGCTCTGGCCATGTCCCTTCATTTCCTTTATAATTATTGATGAGAGAAAGAGAGGTCAATTTTATTGCTCCACTTATTTATACATTCATTGGTTGATTCTTGTGTGTGCCCTGACCTGGGATCAAACCCACAACCTTGGCACATCTGGATGATACTCTGATCAACTGAGTACTCGGCCAGGGCCGCAGGGTCCTTCTGGTGGACTCCTGTGTTGGGTTTGCCATTAAATATTGAGAGTCTCCCCAAGGCTATTATTACTAACCCTATTTTACCACGAGGAAATTACGGCTTAGGCAGGGTAAGCCCGAGATCATAGACCTAGTGAAATTGAAACTAGAATTCAAAACTGGTATGCGTGACCACAGTACCTGTGGTGTGTTTAGGGCAGCCTCGTACTGCATCGACCAAACTGAAACACTTCGGAGAGCAAGCAGTGAACCCCCCAAATGGATGCTGGGAGAATGAACATAAACAGGACTCTGCAGGACGAGCTGGGGGAGGGGGCGGCAGTTACTGTCACATTCCCTCTGGGCTTCGTTCGCACAGCAGGATGGGCCAGGAGAAGGCGCAATCCAGCCCAGGTGCGTTTTAACAAGGACCAGGGCGAGCCCTATCGGCACTTTCTGAAATTACTTAAGGCTGCTGCTTCCCCCATTGTTTGCTATATTTATTAACCTGGGTAGTAATCCTGCAGTTACTAACACTAAAGTCCATCTTTTAACACTTTAATAAATTGTTATGCTTATTTTAGAGAGAAAAGGACAGAAGGAAGCTGGGGGCCTGCACACTGCCGCATCCGGGGAGGCGGGTGGTGGTGAGGTGAGAACTTCGGCCAGGACAGGAGACCAGCAGCATCCAGGAGCTCAGGAGGTGAAAGAAAAGAGGAACTGTTACTACCTACACGTGGATGCCCACCATGTGACCTGTACCTACACACGGAAGCCAAGCTCAGTTCTACTATCAAGGTCAGAGTTAGGGGAACAGACTAAGGCAGGAGACGGGGCCAGAACCAGTGCTTCAGACTTCGAATGAGGCACCCCCTGGGGAGCACAGATATTCAGGGGTCAGGCAGAGACGGAAAAGAATCGGTCCTGGAGAGGGCGGGGACGCACGACACCAGGACAGAGAGAGACTCAGCAGCAGCTCCAATGAGGTTGAAGCACCGGCTGAAGCATCGGCTGAGATAAGAACTGAATCCAGTGGTGGGGACACCACAGTGGGGCTGACAGTGAAAGGGAAGAAGAAACTGGACTTTGCAGGTGGCAGAAACCAAGGGCTAAATCACTGTTTCATGAAAAAGGGGAGGTTTTGCATAAACAGCTTGCCCACTTGGTAACGATGAGAATCCAGCAAGTGAAGTTCCAGGACCCCAAGTCCCTTCCAAGGGCACACACACAGTGACCAGGTCCCAGCCTACTGCATTAGGTTTCTGTCAACTTCAGAGAGACCTGGTGAACTGGCACTGGGCAGCCCTCTGCTAAGCAAAGGCCTCTGTTTGTGCTACCAGAAAAAAAAACACAGAATGAAGGCTTCAGGGCACGGCCCGACATCAGCACAGGTCATCAAGCTCCAGGTGAGCTCCACATGTAGCGTATTTGTCCACAGGACCAGCTTTGGGAGAGAAAGACTCAAGGTCCATTTTGGCTCTGTGACTTACTTATTTGTTGTTGCCCTGGGCAAGTTGGTTAACATCCCTCAGCCTCAAAAGTGTGAACATGAATTGAGCTTCAGGTTTGGCTGTGGGTATTCATGTGATAATATATTTTACTCACTGAGGTCAGGGCCCGATACACTGTCGGCTCACTAAACACCGGCTGGTGCTACTTTTATAGACGGGAGCAGCGAGTCCAAATGTGAGCTGCACCTGTAATCACACCTTCGGAGCAGCTCCATTGCAAAATCAAACAACAGGTGAGTTAATTTTAGTATGTTTTACTTTACTCAATATGTCCAAAATACTATGTCAATATGGAATGAATATAAAATTGTTAATGTGGTATTTTACATTATCTCCTTCTTCCCACGTCTTTGAAATCGGTCGTTCACACTGCAAGTGCACCTCGGTGCCACGAGCTTCATTCCAGGGCTCCACGGCCACGCGCGCGAGCCTTGTGGCCACCACGTGCACGGCAGCGCTCGGGACCCCGCAGGCGGAGGAGGTCCCTAAGTCCCCCTCTCTAGGAATCACATTTTCCCACCACATTTTGAAATGATTTTCTGATCTATTACGAATTAAATCCTTACTTCCAGTTGCTTCACTTACTTCGGCCCCTCCTACCATCAAAGGTGAGCAAGCCCCGGGATGCGCACTGCCACAGCGACACTCCCCAAAGTCTCACCAGAGCAGCAGAGAAAACACCACCCAGACCGCAGTGGAAGCACAGCTGAGTGATGGGCTGGAATGGGGTTAAACAGTGGGCGGTGGGCCTGAGATATATTTATTTACATTTTTTAAAAGATTTTATTTATTTATAGTTAGAGGAGAAGGGAAGGAGAGAGAGGGAGAGATATCAACGTATGGTTGCCTCTCGTGTGTCCCCTGCTGGGAACCGGCCTGCAACCCAGGCACGTGCCCTGACTGCAAATCAAACTTCAATCCTTTGGTTAGCAGGCCCGCACTCAATCTACTGAGCTACACCAGCCAGGGCTACATTTTGAAAGTTAAATGTACTGGGGTAACAAACTCACAAAACAAACCAGACAAACTCAATGATGTATTTAAAGAGCCAAGAAAAGGCCAATCTCCAAAGCCGCAGCCTGACTAAGAGCTGCTGAGAAAAAACAGAACTCAAATCAGCCAGGTGCAAGCTGGGTGGGTGGGGAGGGGGTCGAGTCGGGGAGGCAGGGAAGGCAAGGAGCTTAGGCCTGGAAGGAGCAGCGCCCTCTTGAGGCCTCTCAACAAACACTGGCCAGGGGCTGGGGGCCTGCAGCAGAAACACAGCTCTGGAAATCACCTGCCACGACAATACTGCCTTTATCTGCGGCCTCAGCTGCAGAGGCAGAACGATATGCAAGACAGAGAACTACTGTCTTTTTAGTGGGAAGTAGGAAAAGAATCTCAAAAACTTGCCTTTTCTGTAATCAGAAGAGGAACTAGCTTAATGCAAAATATATTTTTCCAAGTGTTACATTTAAGGGAATAATAAACTTCTCACATGAAATACCGATAAAACCTTCACTGTGTAGATTCATATATTTTTTCATGAGCACTTAGTTCATACAGTCATACAGGTTTTCTGAGAGGTAGAATCAAAACTCTGCAAAGGAAGAATTTAAGCAAAGAAACTGAAACTGTTTCTTGAGTCACCACAGGGAGATGAATTCAGCAAACGTAAGAAGCCCAGAGTCTAACAAAAAGCCTGGGCCATTGACTCCAAGGGACGGGACCTTTCAGCTCTCACTACTCCCCAGAGTCACCCACCACATTGGTATGCTGTGCTCACGATGAACGCGGTGCCCAGAGAGGCCGTTGTATCTGGTCCCCTCTGATAAAGAACTTGAGGAGAGACATAAACCAGTTCAGAAAGGTCAGAGGGTGATGCTTCAGTGTGGACGTGTTACTGTGGAAGTAAAAATTCTCTTTTGGATAGTGGAGAGCACTGCGACAGCCAACAGAACTGGGCGCCTACCGCAGGTGTGACCTTGCATGTATTACTGCTCTGTTCTTGGTTTCTTCATTTGTAAAATAGGAAAATTAATACTGACTTTGCAGAAGTTTTGTGAAGGTGAGATACCATGTACGTAAATGTGCTTTGCATAGCGTCTGACAAGTTTAACAAATACCTGCCACTGATAATAACAATAATGCTAATGAATGAGATACTCATTTATTTCTATATTATTATAAAGGCTTAATTGGAAAAAGTTTTCAATAAAAAGAAGTATAAGGCAAAGGTCGCTAAACTGACTTCCTTTTTAAGTCTGCTCGTACCAGCACTCAGGTAAGATTCATTTTCTCAATCGTTGAAGCCCCAAATTGCTTTATCAAATTTTATTTTCCCTAGCTTCACAAAAAATGAGGAGAAATTGGCCTTGAATGCCTGTGTAAGTGACCTTGAACGCTGTGTGTTTTTTAAAAACAACTTAGTTATTCATCCATAACAAAATTTGACGGGGTGAGGGGGGGGAGGGCGCTGGCTTGGGAGGGAGGTTGTGTGTGCTTTCCTGTGGCTGTGTGTGCACACTCTGAGTCCCGGCGCACGGAGAATTCCTCCCCCATGGTTTCAAAAGACCTCGCGAGCTACCAAGGAATTCCTTGGCTGAGGAAGAAATACATCTGAAAAGTTAGCTCACACACAAAAAAGAAAAAATTATAATCCTAAAAGGTATTATTACTTTTTCCCTTGTAGCAGCATTTGTATTTTAAGAGGGGTTTCTCTTAAAATAACTCAAAGAAAAATCTCTTAAAGTCTAAAAGATGCACACACAATTGCCATAAAGATGTGGATACAAGGACTTCGCATGCTGGTGAGTAGGTCACTAGGCATCTGTGACAATAGGGGGGACAGAAACCTTCCTTAATAGGCTTCACATCAAACTCACAGGTGACTTTTTACTTCAGCCCAAGGTCGGTCTGGTTTCAAGCAGGTAACTCCAGGGTAATTGCTCTGTGTGTGTATGTGCCCCCGAGTATAGACTTCAAGTTGATAAATTGCTCTATTAGGATCTCAGTAACACTTAGGGTCCATGCACTAAACTGGAACTCACACCGGCCTCACTTCTGACCAGTGTGAAATGTTCACACGGGCCAGCAGCCGCCCGCCTAGCACATTCACAGCAGAAACGTGGCTAAGTTTACCTTTCTTTGGTCTGGATTTCACTGGCAAGGACTCCTTTTTTTCCATTGCTGCTTCTCTTTCTTTCCATCGGCGGATCTGTTCCTCCCTCATCTTGAAGAACAGGATCTGTTTCTGTTCTTCGCTGAGCTCTGCCAGCAGATCGGGATCTATGAACATCTCCGACAGTATCTGTTTCAGCATCTTCGCAGGTCTGGAGTCCTTTACGCCTGTGGCAGAAGTTCTTGAAAATGGCTTCCTGGTGCGCCCTCCACCTGGGCCGCCACTTGGAAGGACCTTCCTCCCCAGGGGCTCACAGCAACCCGGAGTGGCGGGGATAATAATTCAGCAAACCGGCTCCTGGTTCCTGGCACCAAACATCCTGCGCGAAACACCGTTCGTGAACCTGCCAGGAGCAACAGCCAAAAAGCAACCACTATTAAAATGTGCAGACGCCAGGCAAGGACAGGCTTATGAATAAAGCTGGGCGGAAATGCAGTATTGTTTTTCATTTATGAGGAAAAGAAAAAAAAAGCCAAGGCACGCTTTGTTGAGTTTGTGTAACCTCTACCTGTAATTTCCAAAGATACTTTATCAAAAAAAAAAAAGCAAACCCTAACTTTTTTACGGGTCAACCTCAGGGAAACGGAAGATTTAAGAGAGGTTTGGCCTTGTTCCAACCAAGCAAACACATTACTGCCTCAGAGCCTAACAAACCGACTGGGTGGCTCAGAAAAGAAGTAAAGAGGAAAAAAAAAAAGATAGGAGGAAATTAAAGGCTCTTTCCAAACAACTTATTTTTAAAAATACTGTTTTTGAGACTTCCCAGAATTGCCTACCTGAAACCAAACCAAAACAGAACCATGCTCAAGGAAGGAAAAAGAAGAAATAAAAACGAGACCACAATGCCACATTCCCACTTTCTCCTTAAAAGCAGCACCGAATGAACACACATGTTCTCTCATCTTCACAGAAGGACAATGCCATTTCAGAAGACCTACTAGAACCATGAAACCAGTGCGAGGGCGGGAGAGAACCTTCACGTACATCCTGGAAGGTCACCAGATTTTAGGCATACCTCCTGCAGTTAACCTAATTTTTTTTTTAAAGGCATTTTTAAAAAATATTTTCTTTATTTTATTTTTCGAGAGAGGGGAAGGGAAGGAGAAAGAGTGGGAGAGAAACATCAATGTATGGCTGCCTCTTGTACATCCCCTGCTGGGAACTGGCCTGCAACCCAGGCATGTGCCCTGACTGGGAATCGAACCTCGATACTCTGGTTCGCAGGCCCACGCTCAATCCACTGAGCCATGCCAGCCAGGGTGCAGTTAACCTAATTTAATAAAATCTACATTTACAGATCAGATAAACCGGGGGAACGGAGAGGTGACTAGGTTCATTACAAAGGATCCTTGCTTTAAAAAAAAGTTTATTAGAGGCTCCTTTAAAAAGACTGTGGTAGTTGGTGAGCGGAGGCATTGAAGGGTCCACGGGAAGACGTTTACTGGAATGTCAAGGCCACTTTGATTTCTTACCAAGTGCGGCATGGACTGGTATATTCACAGGTGGTCTCAGAGTGGCTCTACTGGAAGGGGGCTGACGATTCCGCTGACGTTTCATTCCACTTTACACATTTCTGTTTGGTTGATTTAAAACAAACAAACAAACAAACAAACAAACAAACAAACAAATCGCCCTGGCTGGTGTGGCCTAGTGGATCGAGTGCCAGCCTGAGAACCAAAAGGTCATCAGTTTGATTCCCAGGCAGGGCCCATGCCTGGGTTGTGGGCCCGGTCCCCAGGTGAGGCTGTGAGAGAAGCAACTGAGATGTATCTCTCACACATCAATGTGTCTCTCCCTTTCTCCCTCCTTCCCCCTATCTCTAAGAATAAATAAAATTTAAAAATTAAAAAGGAAAGCCAATCATACTTTTTTTTTTAACAAGAAGGAAATTATATGTACATTTCCATTCTGGAAAAACAAGACTTTCATTTCTTTCAATATGATAGGCTCATCAGAATTCTAAGAAAGTGACTAATAATTTGGTGCTTATAATGCCTCAATAATCTCACTATGTAGCCATGCCCTTTCAAATGTCATTTCTCCAAACTCAGTTCAACCCTCTTAGACTTCACTCCAGTCCCTGAGCCTCCCAGGTCCTCCCCCTGTCGCCATCCACACGGCCAGACTGTGAAGCTCCTCCGGCCCCCACCCCAGTGTCCCCGAGCTTCCTCTCTTCCTCCTCTTCCTTGCAAACTGCTTCTCCATCTGCACCAGTCTTTTGAGACCAGTGCTCCACCCCGAAGTGGTTTGTGTAACATAGCACATAGATTCACTAACCATTCACTGTGCAGCAGGCTGCAACTATCCTTGCTAACTGCATCCTGTAATCTATCTTCTGCAGCATTCCACTAGTGGAACTCAAATGGAACACAATATTAAGAGAAAATTAAAATAAATTAAAAGCGGCGTCTGGCTCCAATTCAACCAAGCATTGCCTGTCCCAGGGTCTACCTTTGAATTTTGCTTTGAGGTGAGCGTCAAAGGCTGTAACAGCCACAAAAATAGGTGTCCTGTGATATTTTCTTGACTTTGGGGTTCTAACAGCCTCCCAAGGGGCAGGGCTCACTAAATTCACACTAATGGAGAGACAGGGTCCCAGAGGCTGACCTCTCGCCTGTAGATGAAAAGAACCAAAGGAAGAATTTGGTTGAGATGAAGTCCTAAGAAATCAAAGTGGATGACTCCTTAACAACCCAGTAACAATGCCCTTTGTTGGCCCTTCCAAGCCTTCAATTGTTGACTTTCACAAAAATAAAACATGGTAGAAAATGAGGCGCCCAATGAAAACCGAGGCTGCTTCTCTGTTCTCCATTCTGAATGCGGTGAATCCCAGCAACGGTGACAGTGTGGGTTGAGCCTAAAAGCTAAACCCCTGAAACTGCCAAACTCACATCCCTCCCCTCTCCCCTACAGAGTACGCCCGATAATAAGAGCTTCCATTCACGGTTGCAGCGACTGCCTTCAGCACGCCACGTGCATTAACTTCTTTAGTCTTCACAGCAGCCCTTGGAGTTCAGCCTCCCACTTGCCCCGTGTCTCAGATGGATGAAGGCAGAGGTGGCGGAGCTGGGGCAGCCTGGCTCTGAGCCGGCTCCACGAGACTCCACCAGTACCGTGGAGTTTCTTTGCGAACCCAGAATCAGAACATACTCAGGATGTGATATCACGTGTGAAATATCTGAATGAAGACCAGCAAATTCCGCCGAGCACGGAAATGCTGACTGAACTCAGGGTGTGCAACACAGACGCCTCTTGGGCAGACACCTCAGCCACAGCAGCTCTGTGGGGAGACGCCGAACCTCGCCCACAGTTTTAACTTCTTGTTTTGCCTTTTGTAGCAAATGTGGATTTTTAGCATAAAAGTTAACTAGCAGATCTTGAAGGAAAGACAGTGGCTTCCCTGTGTCCTTAGAGGATACCTGGGGACTCAACTGACAACAGTCCTGTGGTCAGGCAGCTAAGTGACACACATGCCATTCTAAGCCAGTTGATTCCTACAGGTGTGAACGGACTCTTTCCTTCCCCATGCTTTCAGATGGAAAAGTCAAACCCAGCACAGGGTGCTCAGAAAACAACCGGCAAAGGTCCGCCTCTCATGAGCTGTGTGACTTTGGACTGTGACTTCACTTCTCTGGACTTAGGTTCTGCATCTGTGAAATGAAGGCCTGCACTGTGAATCCTTTGAGGACTGTGCCAGACAATCTAAGTGAAGGTTCAGAGCCAAGTGGAGCCAGCCAGGGTAGAGGAAATAGGAATGAGGAAATTAACCAGCCGGGGTTTGCCCCACTTGCACTGATAGGACAGTCATTGTGACACTGAATCAGACTCCAATGACTTCCCCTGACATAGCAAGTGCTGCACACTTCCACTCACTCAGGACCCAACAACAACATAACACTCAGCGAACTCAGCTCTCTTCTTCTACACCGCTTTTCTTAAAAACAGTAACAACAAGCCACAAGCCCCCATCTGCTATTTACTCCAAAAATAAATTTCTCAAGGGCCAGAGGGTTAGGTGTTTTCTGGGATACCCGCAGATCTGGCCTGACTCTCACACTTTCCAGTCCTGTTCTACAAAAGGAGAGGTGTGCTTTAATGACGCTGATATGAAACAACAACCAAAGCAAGCAAACAAAAAGCAGCCTGAGATACAGCATAAATCACAAGAAATTATAATACGGACAGTATGACTTTAATGTTAAGAATATAGTTTGAATTTCAATTATTTTAAAATAGCCAGCTCTGTTTTCAGATCTGCAGTTATCCTTTTCAACTTTATCTTATTAATCTATCTGTAAAGGGGCCATTTTGAGGGTAAAATAAATTACCAGAGCTGACAGCAGTTTGGTAAGTTTTGTAAATATATACCTTCCTTTAGAAATTTGAAATTACTGCACAAACTTCTCTAGAAAATTCCACTCACATGCCAAATCTATGGCCACATATGCTTTCCATTTATTTGCTCACTCAAAAAATATTGCATTTAAGTCGTCTCCATTGAACAGGCAATCAAATAAAAGCCATTTCGGAGGAGAGGAGACCACGTTTAGAGAGATCCGCCACACTCGCTTCTCCCCTGTGACCCTGGGGAGGGCAGAGACAAGTTGCGACTTCTCACCGCGTCTCCACGCCCACCCGCTCCGGGCGCCGCAGTGGGGGCAGGAACCGCGCGGCACCCGCTTGCTGGAGGAAGGCCACCGCCATCGAACTAACCGGGGGCCCTGGTCTGAGTCTGAAGCAGGCCCCGGCCCTCCGTGCTCAGGGCCCGCAGGGCGCCCCGGTGCTGGCGAGCTGAAACCGTTTCCCCGACTCTCCTGGAAGGTGTGGGGCGAAGGGGTCCCACGGCTCTACCCACGTGTGCTCGTCCGCGGCGAGTCGCTGCGGCCGCACCGGCGTGGGGCGCAGGTCGCGGGGCCTCGGGAGGCCGGGGCCGGCGGGGGCCGCCGGGGGAGACGGCCAGGCGCTGAGGCTGTTGGACCAGAGTCGAGAAACCTTCGAGCAGCCAGACCCTCCGGGGCAGCCGCCACCCTGCAGCCCCGGCTCCCTCCGGGCGGAGCCCCGCCGGAAGAGTGCGCACACGCCCCTCCGGGACGCGGAGCCCCGCCCGCAGCCCAGAACTGCCCCGAGGCTCTCCCACGTGCCCTGTGCCCGCCCCCTCCGGGGTCCCCTTAGAGCGGCCGCCAGCCCCGGCCCCCTGGCTCCCCCGCCGGCGCTCGAGACACCGGACACCGGACACCGGACACCGGACGCCGGCCCGCCGCGGCCCTGCTCGCCGCCGGTTCCCGCACCTGAGCCTGGCCGCGCGCGGCGGAGGGGCCGAGGCACGCAGGCCTAGCCGCTCGCCAGCCCTGCGCCCTCCCGCTACACGCCCCCCCACCGAACGCCCCTCCATCTCCCACCGCCCGGTCCCGGTCTTCTCCCGACCTCGCCTTCTCCGCCTCTGCCCCCACCGCGGCACCCACCTGCAGCGCCGGGGCTCACCTCGCCGGGCGACCCGCGCACCCGCCTCGTCCAGCTGGGGCGGCCAGAGCTGTCGGGGCAGGAAGGGAGGGACAGGCAGAGGCACCCTCGAGCGGCGCTGGCTGGCTGGACAAACACTCCAGTGAGAGGCTGGCGAACAGCGTCCCTCAGCCCCGGCCCGCCCGCGCTGCCCCACCCACGGCCCGCATGCCGGGGTGACTGGCTGGGCGCTGGCGGCCCCGCCCGGCCTCCTGGACAGGCTCCAGGGCCGGGCGGCGGCGGGGCCCAGCTGCCGGCTGCACGCCAGGCCAGCTGTCCCGGGGGCCCACTGGCCCTCGCAGCGGTGGTCCAGGCCCAGGCCACATGGTCCACCTGCAGTCTCCGACGGTTCATTGCTGGTCCTGCCATCTCGGGTCTCTGCGTAAACATTCATATCAGCGGCCCGGCCCCTTCTCCGCCCCTGAGCTCAGGGTTTCTTGCAAGGTGGAGCCAGCGGGGGGCCCGCAGGCCTTTCTCAGTTACACCGAGTCCCTCGGGCCAAGTCGGCTCACCTCTCGGGTTCTGCTCCTGCCTCTCTTGGAGCTTGTTTTTTTCTCTTTTGTTGTCATTAAGTGAATGATCAAAACTCTCAGGCACTTGCCAGTACTGGTGTGGCTTTGTAGGACAGGATCAAGGAGGAGAAAGGCTGGAAAGATGGAGACTGAAAACAACAGTGACTCGCAGAGAAAAGTAAAAGAATCTGAAGGTCAAGAACCTTGCTTGCGAATTTCAGCCAGCACAGGTCGCAGTGGTGTGTGAAGGGAGAAGCTGACCGGGCCCGGGAGGGGGAGCTCTGGAGGAAATGGAGTAGAAACAGAGACACGGGAGGGTATGTTCCCCTGAATAGAAACATACAAAACTGGAGGAAGGCGGCTTCATTTGGTGAACCCCAGACGGCAAGTGGTGGGGAAAGATGTAATAAACAGTCCGCCTCTGCACAGCCTGTCTAGTGAATTCGGCAGCCTGGCCTGCTCTATTCAGACAGGACACTGTCTCACTTTCAGCCTCTCCAAACTGCAGAAGGTTCTCGAGGTTAGAAAGAGCCTTCGGGCGGAGATCTGTCCCCAGACCGAGCTATTAGGAACTGTCCCACACATCCTAACAGAGGGGAATTTCCGGTTTAGGGTCGGTTCCCTGCGCTCATTAAATGAATGGCCTGTGGGGTGTTTTTTGGCTGCAGTGTCACTTGCCCTGGTCAGCTGTGGCCAGCTCACAGTGAATCCTAACACTGTGGAGTGAACAGCTGATGAACCGTGAAGGGTGGTTCATTAGGCAGTAAAAATTCCATAGGGCACTTGTAACAACCAATTACCTTCCACTGCATTCCACCTCTGCCCAGGTCCTTTATCACAGCGCTCCCGCGTGGCTACTCACCTCTCCATCCTTTGGTTTCACCCTCTGAATAATAGCGGTGCCTACCTAACTCATTAAGTTGTTACAAGGGTTAAATGAGGTAAAACATGCAAAATGCTTACCACAGTTCCTGAACGTGGTACGAGTTCAGACACATTAGTTCATATTATTTCACATCACATACTATCATTTCAAGTTATCGCTTCACACCTAGGGTATGGATTTTGCCTCCTAGGGTACCTAGAGTCCAAGGCAGCCTCAGTGACTGCCCCCCTCATGGTGCAGCGCTCCTTTCCTTGGCTGTGGGGAATGCATTCCAAGACCACCAGTGGTTGACTAAAACCACGGGTAGTACCAAACCCTATATATACTATGTTTTCTCCTATATATGCATATCTATGATAAAGTTTAATTTATCAATTAGGAATAGTAAGCGATTAATAACAATAACTAATCATGAAATGGAAGTATTATAACAGTACAGTGTAATGAAAGTGATGTGAATGGCTTTGGGCCATTGTTAAGTAAAATTCGGGTGACTTGAGCAAAAGCACCACGATGCCATGACAGTTGATCTGATCACAGAGATGGTTACTAAGTGACTAAGGTGTGCGTAGCATGTATAGTGTAAATATGCTAGATGAAAGGGTGGTTTATGTCTAGGGCAGGGCAGAGCAGGAAAGGTTCATTGGAGCAGCGCTCAATTTAAAACTGATGAGTTGCACAGACACAGACAAGAGTGTGGTGATTATCAGAGAGAAAGGGGGTAGGAGGGTGCAGGAGGGTATGGGGCTTGGTTAGTGCCATTGGAAGGAGCCTTGACTTGGGGTGCTGAACGTATAATACATTATACAGATGATGTATTAAAGAACTGTGCACCTGAAACCTATGTAATTTTATTAACCAATGTCGCCCCAATAAATTCTGTAAAAAAGAAGGGCCCTGGCTAGTGTGGCTCAGTGGATTAAGTGCTGGCCTGCGAGCTGGAAGGTTGCTGGTTCGATTCCCAGTCAGGGCACATGCCTGGGTTGTGGACCAGGTCCCCAGTTGGGGGTGTGCAAGGGGTGACAGATTGATGTTTCTCTCACACATTGCCATTTCCCTCCTTCTCTCTTTAAGCATAAATAAATATAAGTGTTTTTTAAAAAGAAAACGTGAGTTGTTGTGTTTTTTTTTCTGGAATTTACCATTTAATATTTTCAGAGCACTGTTGACCAACCACAGATAAGGAGGGAGGACTGCGTTATGTCGCTTATAAAAGGCGTCGCCCCTTGTCTTGTTGTGTGCGTCTTCTTCTCTTGGGTCATTTACTCCTCAGAAAGCCAACTGCCATGTTATGACCAACCCTATGGAGAAGCCCACGTGGAGAGGAACTGAGGGCTTGTGCCAATAGCCACAGAATGAACTTGGACATGGAATCTATAGCCCCGGTCAAACCTTCAGCTGATTGCATTATTGGCCTATAGCTTCAGTGCAAATTCATGAGATCACCCAATTAAGCCACTCTCAAATTCCTGACCTGCAACACGGAGGTGGCAAATTTGTGTTGTATTAAGACACAATTGGGAGACACTTGTTACACAGCCATAGATAACTAATACACCTCCTCACTGGTCTAGTTTCTAAGCCAGTTTTAGCTAGTTTTATGCATAGGAAATTTCTTGTAGTGGGTAGCTTACTTAAACACAGATCTTTGACCTCTCCCCAGAGCTAAGAAATATAGTATCTGCAAGGGCCAGGCGCCTGTGTTTTGAGCAAGCACTCCTAGAGACTGGGTCAAAGGTGGGATTACTGACCCTGCTGTCAAAAACTCTGCTCCAGGTGCTCCAGGCCAGACGTTGCTGAGCGCAGTTGTCAAACTTATCTTGATAATCTTGATTCTGATCCTTCACTTGGTTGCTAAAAACATCTTTGACGTCTACCCCTCTTTCTTGTCCGAAGGAAGACTTAACCTCTTGCCAACTTTCAAAACCCAGAACAACCTAACACTAATGTCTTTCAACTATATCATCTTCCTGACACAAATCCTGCGTTCAGATAATCTGGCATTTTTAGGCTCTAAAGCTGTACGGGCTCTGCAGCTTCACACTGTGGAGCCTGTGTAAAAAGTCTTGTCCCACGACTTGGATTCTGAGTATCCTACCTGTCCTTCAAGCATGGATCTTTAGGAAAACTTTCTTGCCTGCCCTCCTCCCAGCTGGAAACAGTCCGTGCCTCTTGCATGCTGATATATTTGTATCACGAGTTAGGTGCCAGGCCCTGTGGTGACACTGGGGGACAGCAGAGAGCAGACAGCCAGGGTCCCTGCTGCCACTTCGCTGCAGCCCTGCCCTGTTCAGTAGCTGTGTGTACGTTTTTGACCTCTTTCAGAGCGTAAGTGTTGTGAGAGCAAGGACTAGCCTATGCAAATTTGAATCTGACCCAACACCCAGGCACACAACAGGTGTGCGGTGCATGTTGGTTGAATGGATGTCAACAGTCCAAATGAATGCAGGCTGTACGCAGAGTGTGATCGATCCTCCACTCAACGTGGAGCCCGGCGCCTCCTTCCTTTTCTCTCCTCGTCGCTGTTCCATCCTTCTTGCCACGTGTCTCTTCCCTATATTTGTAGATACCGCTCCTCCTTTCAGTGTCTGCAGTTCTCTCTCCACCCTCTGCACTTCGTCTCCCCTCTCCTCTACCACCTCCCCTTTTTGCTTCCTCTCCCCCATCTCCGGGGGTTTCCTCTATCAACTGGCATAATCTAGAACCAAAAACACAGTTCTTCTCCACTTGAAAAGTAGACAAGATTTTTTTCTATTGCTTAAAAAAAAAATCAAGCAGCTGTTACTTATTTACAAGGCCCTCGACAGGGTTCTCAGTAGGAAACACTTCCCCACCCGTGATCTAGGGCATGTGTGGGGAGGATTGCTGCCTTCACCTGCTGGCAACACTCCTGATCGAGTGTGAGGTCTGGGCCACCAGCTGAGCATCTCCTGCTAGCTGGCCACTGGCTGGTTGGAGACATACACAATGGGTGTCACCAGGACACGTGTTCAGGAATGCCCCATTGCCCATCCAGAGCCAGTGGTCCACAGGAAAAGCTAATGTCTATTCCCGATTGTATATACTAATTTTTAAAATTGCTCATTTATTCCCAGTGATGGACACCAAAAACCAAATAGCCCACACTTTAATTGACGCATTCTCTGGCATTCCTTTTGGAAGGTTGCTAAAGATCCCTGCTGCCCAGGGTTGGGTGCACAGCTACCGGTCATGGCACTGTCCACTGGAGGGGTGCTGAGCAGGGCGGACAAAGCCTGAGGCACCCCCCGCCCCCGGGCTGAGCAGCACACAGCCCGGTGCTGCTGCCCGAAAGGCTGGAGGGGCCACTGCTCACTTCCGCGAGGCCAGTTTGTGTTTGAGTTCCACAGAAAGTGGAGGTTACCTTCAGGTCTTCTCTTTAGGGGAAAAGATAGGATAAACGATAACATTTTCCCTGTCTTGTTTTATCATCTACAAACACTTATTTTTTATTTTTAAAGAAGTTCTACCTTTGTCCTACAGTGAATATAAAGTAGATGTGAAAGAAAAAGACTAAACATTTCAACTTTATTAAAAATTGATCAAATTTCAAAATACATGCCAGTCAAGACACCGATCATAAAAATGTTATTGAAGGTCTTCTGTATTTTAGCTTGCTGCCAGCAATTAGATTTGATTATGAACTATTTTCACCGGTTTATGACTCTATTTGGGCTTTACTTTTCATCTTTATAAATATCAAGGTAAACTGTTGGCCTTTTTATTCATCTTTGAATTCATCAGATTACTCTAATTTTTCATATTTTTCCCTGGATTACCTTTATGGAATTGTTTCTGAGAAGACACCCTTCACTCTCCGCGTTTCTGTGTTACAGAGGCACGCACGCAGCCTGTGGCCCAGAGGAACTGCTGCCCCGAGGCTCCCGCATGGAATTGAGTAACTTCTACCCCGAGTGATAAGGTGCATCTGTGAAGAGCTTGCAGTCCCCAGTGCATCTGACCAGCCTGACCAGAAAAGGAGCAGAAGCAAGCTCTTGTGAGCATGACGGCTTTCCTTGTATCCTTCCCGGGCAGCTTCCAGTAGGTCTCCTAATGCGAATAAAACCAAGGTCTCACCCCTTCCTTAGACCAGGTTCAGAAGCAGGTTTTGACTCCCTAACTTTGCTCTGGTGTGCCATCTTTGCAGAAAGTACACAGATTCATTTTCGTTTGATGAGGGTTTACTGCCAGTGAGCACAGAAGTAGTTCTCAAGCACATGTGACAATAACCTAGAGAGATGCAATGTTTGGCCCTCTGTCTCCCTGCTTCAAGGGGTTCTTGATTGGAATAGGATGGAGCACAGACATCACAATTTTTTCAGAGCACCCCAGGAAGTTCTAATGTGTGCCCGAGGTTAGGAACCACTAAAATATGTGGAAACAAAGTCAATTAGTTATGGGAGATTTTGAAGGCGTAGTCATGGTAGCCCTTAGATGTTACTAAAATAAACATGAAACCAGATGTTCATCCTCTTGGTTCTGGCTTTGAAGTAAGTCCCATAATCTTGTCCCACGGGGATGGATGATCCACCAGACTCAGTGCATCATTTAACCAGGCGGGAATTAAATGCAATGCATGAGATGACGGTGTCTGGCTTCCCTTGGCTGCCCCATGTATCTAAGACTTGCTAATTTCCTTCCTTTTACTGTTGCCTGGTTATGAAGCCCAGGTGCTCCCGCTGGCCCGTTTGTTGAGGAAAGCACTTCCCTCTTTGGCCCAAAGACTCCTGACCTTCACTCCATGGCCCCGGGTGTTCTCAGTCATTTCCTTGTCTTTCCTGGAGGTGGCTTTAATTCTGCTCCCTAGAACTGTTCTTCCCACTAAACCATTTCCCTCCATTATATTCTGTGTGCCTGAAGACTGCTTATAACTGGAAGTTGAAGTTCATTCTACCCTTGGGCAAAGTAAGACACTTTACCTCTTCCTCTAAGTGTATGTTTAAATAAGAGCCAACCCATGACCTCAACACTGCATGCTATTGTTTAAGTTTGAGACAGAGAGTTTATTGGCATCTTAGAGTTTTAATGACAGAGAAATTGGTATAGCATCCAGTATAGTGAAAGTTATGGCCAATAAATGACAGATCATGCTATGCAAATAGAGAACTATGAAAAAGAGTAGAGTCCCTTTGGTGAAAAAAATCAATATCCATTTAGAATCTAAATAACCACACTGTCCCTCACTGGGAATGAATCCTTCATGTTAGAAGTCCTCATTAAAAGACAGTAAATCACACAACATTTAGAAGGAATCTGAACATTATTTGGACCTCACTTGCAGCTGAAGAAAGGGATGAGGGGAGCAGGTTTAACTGTCACAGAGCTAGCTAGTGGTGTGTCCAGAATTAAAACAAAGAGTCTATGACCCATGACCCTCACAGGTATCATGCTACCTTAAATGAACTAGATCGCTTACCTAACTGACTTCAGGAGAAAGGGTGTAGGGAACCTGCATTTCTCTCCTAACATAAAGCCCCTCTGTCTCTTGATCGAGAGGCAGACAGGAGTGGCTTTCAGGGCTGTTCGAGTTCAAGGCCAGCTGTGGGGTGTACAGGACTCCACGCCAGTTTCCTCACAGCCCCGGGCTCACAGCAGACCAACGCAGGGACCACGTCGATCTGGAGCCCACTCTGGAGAACAGTTGGGGCTGTGATCCTCTTAAGTGTAACAAGCAGGTCTTGATAGAACAATCGATCTGTTCTGAGTGGTTCCTTCAGTTAAATTCTGATGAAAACAGGAAGTACACGGAGAAGAAAGTGGGGAATAAGAAGGAAAAGAGGAATCAACACCACACAGGTAATGAGAATGGAGGTGATTTTTACTTATTTATTTGTTTAAAAGACTTTATTTATTTTTAGAGAGAGGAGAAGGGAGGGGGAAAGAGAGGGAGAGAAACACGACAATCTGTTGCGTCTTGCACACGCCCCAGCCGGGGACCTGGCAACCCAGGCATGGGTCCGAACCAGGAATTGAACTGGCGACCTTTCACTTCTCAGGAAGATGCCCAATCAATGGATCCACAGCAGTCAGGGCTGGAGGTGATTTTTAAAATGAATACATGATCCTGTTGCTTCCTTAAGTGAGCTTTGCTGTCCGCTGAAGCCTCAAATCCACGCTCCTTTCCTGTTGGAGAGTGCACCTGGCTTCCGGAAATGATTTCAAATTGAAAGAGGAGGAATTTCTCTGGTCGATACTGGCTTAAAAGTGTACACTTTATGGTTAGTTTTGCTACCTGGTGAACAGCCCTTCTAAATTGGTTAAATAGAAAATCTAGGAACGAAAGACTCAAATCTCACTGTTTTTTAAAAAATACTATTTCCCAGTTAGACTCCGTGAAAGTAGGGTGTGTCACTAAAGAGGTAACACTGGGTGGTTGGGTGGACATCGTTTCCAGTCTTCTGAGTGTGCTGTACCTGACAATGACACCATAGATCTGTGCAAATTAACACTTTAGAGCAGTTTCGAGCTATTATTTCATTCAGCCCTCACTACATATTTGGTGAGATAGGCTTTTTGATCTTAACTGACAGGGGAGGACCTTTGCCTAGTTTACGTAATAGCTTGGGTAGGGGTGGGACTAGGGCTGGGCCGTGGGGGTGCTAACGCCCAGGCCAAGCCTCCCTCCACCCCCTCACTCACCTGGCTGCCACTGGCACTCTGTCATTGTCCCTACTTCCATAGGAAATCTGCAACTTTGTCTCATCACATTTGCATCCCCAGAGCCTAGTGCAGTGCCTGATACGGAATAGGTACTTAATGTGTGTTTGTTGAAGGAACAAATTAATCTAAATTTGGGCTTGGCCAGAGAGAATCAGTGCCTGCTTGAATAGTGTGCATAAGCTCATTTTTGGAAATTAAGGTCAAGTAGCTTTGTAACCTAAGAAACTATCAGTGTGCTTTGTGGAATTATCCCGACCTTGGGAAACAGCTCATTCAGCTTGAATGTGCTGAAATGAGATGCTATTCTGTATGAGGGGGAGTCTAATGGGGATTTGTGTTATTATCTTGCCACAGAATAATATGCCTCTATTGTTATGTTGCCTTGGAGTTTTATTATTTTTTAAATTATCATTCATTATATGCAATGATATAAATCTTTTATCCCTAGAATGCGAATGACACACCCTAAGTAACTATTCTTTAGAAATACATAGCATTTCTAGAATTCTGACCCAGAAGGATTATTACTTACATGACTGGTCTTGCAACTTTAATAATGTGACCGTGAATTATAATTCAACAATTCCTTTGTTCTTGGTTATAGATTATAAATTCTTTCCTTCACCTTGTGCATTCTATTTAGTTTATACCCACCTCATGCACAATGAAGGGTTACCTGCACAGCGATGGGTGTCTGAGAGGCAGATCAGGGCACAGACTGGGGCACTCCCTTGGTGGGGCTCTGTGCTCATGAGAATATTAGTTTGTTAAATTTTCATCTTGATCCCACTTGAACATATTGTAGTTGGAATGGAAATCTGTTTATTAAACTTCTCACGGTATTTCATAAGAATTATATATTTTTATTGTAACACTTTTTGTTGGTAGGGCCAAACATGTCGACAGAATTAAGGGAGCTACTTCTAGCACATTTGAGTTAAAAGAGAAGTCACGCGTGGCTCTCCTCTTCCTGCTTTTTTTCTCTTCCTACTGAAATAACAGGTCTCAAATCTGCAGGTGTGTGGTTCCCACTGTTACAGCAAAAGGGAAATGAATGATTATTTCTACTTGCTCATCAGACACACAGTAAATGTCTGTTATTGCTGGGAGGGGGGTAACAGAAAGAAACAGTCCTTGATAGCAATAAGCATATTATCTAAAAGGGGGAAATGTCATAAATAAAAACCATAGTGATCATTTTAATAAAGGAGTAAAAAGTATGAATACCGCAAAGGTCCCAGACAAAGCTGAGAGCATTCGGGAGAAGATACATCCCACCTTCTTGCAGGGACCTGCGTCCTGTGTGTGGCGCACTCCAATGATCATGATAAAATTCACCTCACTCTCCCTCCTTCTTCCTGGAGCTTTGGTAAGGAAATGGTGCAGATGCATGGGACAGTCACAGAGGCAGTTGAGGTTGTCAGTGGGGCTGGAAACATAATAGGATGTTAAGGCTCTAGAATTTTAGGAACATTTTCTTAATTAGACAGTTTTAGTCCTCTTTCCCACTTGTATCAGTTATCTTTTGCTGCATAACAAACACCCCAAAACTTAGAGACATTAAACAATTGCACTTTAATATTTCTCCTGAGTCTGGTTCTTCTGCTGGTCTTGCCTGGACTCATTCCTGTGGGGCAGCTGGAAGCCAGGACAGGCTGAAACAGCAGGGCCTCTCTCTGCCTGTGGCCTTCTACTCTAAAGTTGTCTAGACCGCAGAGCAGTAGCAGCATCCCAAGAGGACAAGTCCCAAAGTGTTGCTGCACGTGTGCTCATGTTCTATTGGCCGAGGCAAGCCCATGGCTGAGTCCGGAGTCAAAGTAGGAGGGACTTCACAGTGACATGGAAACTGGGAGGTCTGACTCACTGGGAACCATTAGTGTAACATTCTGCCGCACAGTCTAATACAAAACTCTCTAGAATGTGAACAGTGTGCCCAAGGAAGCTCAGATTTGTACAGGAATTTATTTCTCGGTGTCCTGGGGTGGCTTGTTTCTGCAGATGACTCATGTGGAGGGTCTGGACAAGTCATAAATTAGGATAGACCATTGTGATACTTCTTATAAGGGCCTGCCTTCCTTTCTCTTTCTCCCTTTCTCCTTCCTTCCTTCTGTCCTTCCTTCCTTCCTTCCTTCCTTCCTTCCTTCCTTCCTTCCTTCCTCTTTCTCTCTTTCTTTTTTTATTTCCCCTTCCTTCCTTCCTCCCTCCTACCCTCCTTCCCTTTCTTCCAAGAGGGACAATGACCTACCCATATTAACCTAGAGACTATTAAAGACTAGAATTCAGATCTCAATCTAACGATCTTTGCACAAACAACTCCTCTCTTCATCCCTCGTGGTTATGTTTTAAACTATACATTTGAGAGCTTTTCAGCTAACACTTCATGTGATGTTCGTTTAATGTTTATAATTAGTTTATTTAATATTCCTTTATTTTTCAAGGCTATAAATGAGCCCCCATACTTTAGAATTTCTCATTGATTTTCTTTACATTATGCTTGACCTTAACTAATGGAGACACTAAAGAGGAATGGCCCCAAACAGATCTTGCAGCACTGAACTTATGTTCCCAAAACGATGCTTCCTTTTATTTATTATTAACTTCGATTCACCTTGTTTTAGCTGGTATTCTATGGGACTAAGTTCTGATAGATCATAACTTGGGTTGGTTTTTAGAAAAGAGGTGATCACTCCACATCAAACAAACTTTAACCTGTAACTATAAGTGAATTCAAAGTACCTGTTTAGTAGATTTGTTCATTAAGCCTAAGGGTGTAGTTTAACAATCAAGAGCACCACACGGGAGCAGGATGTTGAGTATATCTTTCTGCTGTGTCTTTCGTACGAATCGAAATTCCCCGGTACGTAAGCTACCCTGTGGAGACAAGTCAGGCATTTCGAGGAAGTCACGTTAATGTCCTCAGCTTGCCCAACCTGATTTAAACCAGGAAGTACTCTGGGCATTAGCATAACAGGTCCCTGAGAAATCACATATCTCTTGTTTTATGTATAAGGTTCAGGTCAAGTAAACAAACGAAACCTGAATATTCATGACCTAACTCATGAATGCTTATGGGAATCTTGTAAGATATTGGTCACTCATGGATGCTTTGCACTTCACCATCATCACCATTTTCATCACCATCACCATTTATGTTGTTCTCACTTGTCATCAGTGAGCAAATTATTGTTCGGGTACAAGTACATTTGAAGGAAATGGAGAGAAGAAGAGGCACATCACAGGAGATGAAGTCAGGGCCTTTGTTTTGGCCCCATGAAGCAATTTCAGTCTGTAGGAAGGACAGCCGACGTGATTCTACTGCATTCTCCTTCAGTCAATGCTTTGTGTGATTTTTCTGTGCCACATGATCCGATGACATCGATCACAACCAAGTGCAGTTTTTCCAGAGAAGAGTGAATGGGGTAAGGGAAGGACAGTGGAAGGAACTAGGGATTGAGCAAAGAAGGCCTGAAGGCATGTGGGAGCATCTTCAAACATCTGAAGGCGTGTCAGGGGATCTCAGGGGCGCTCAGTTAGTGCTGGTCCTCGAAATGCCTCGGACGCAGCTAGGAAATTTGAAATTTGAAATCAGTTACTACTCTCCATCCATCTCATCTCTCTGATACTATCATTTAGCAAATGGACAACCCGAACCTTACCACCACCCCCACCTCTTTTCTCTTCCATTCCATTAGTTATTGCTACACTGGGTTTTATTAACTGAAAAATAAAACGCCAAAGTGAGAGGCAACAAGTATTTATCTGTGACCACAGAAATACAATTCAGGCAGAAACCCAAACTGTGTCCCAATTACAAGGTAAAGGCAAGGGGTTTTATAAGAAAACAGAGGAAAATCGTTACCTAGATAGGAGGAAAACATTTCTATTGATGCGAACCAGTTGAACAGTTCTTTACCTCTACATGGCTGGTTACTGATTCTATCTTCGGAAAGAGTGTCCTTAACTGTTGTAAGGCAATGTTACTTTGTCTCTTTGGCCTGGCCCAAAGGTCATGTTTCCTCATTCAAACATTCCAAGGGGTCAAGGAGCAAGGCCTGCGAGCAGGAGTGGTTCCTCTGGATTGGCTGCTCCGGCGACGCTTTAAAACGGTTGCTCTCACGTTAACTTTTCACGTCAACTTTTCAGTTTCATCATTTTTAGTTCTGGCTGTGTCTGCTTTCCAGATATTTTCACCTCCTCACCCCCACTTTCTAGTCTATGATGTTTCTTCTGTTAAAGCTCACGCTGCAGTTTTAGATTTACATGAGGCTCTACCAGCTCATCCCTCTGACCAATGTCATTCTCATAGCTTCTCAACACTGCCCCCATGCAGAGACTTTGCAACATGATACAAAGTTTTTCTCTTCACATGCTGCCATTATCCTAGGAAATGTTTCCATCTGCGTAGGTAGGGGACCCATTCTTCAGCATAGCTCACACATTCCGGGTCTCTTTAATCCCAGAGATGTCCCCTGCTCCTTTGGATCTGTCCATGACCAGGCTTCCCTCTGGCTCTAAAATCTAATATTTGGGCATCGCAACTTCTAGCTACAACCTACTGTTCTCACAGCATTCCCATGAACTCACTGTATACTGCTCTTTTAGCTCGAAGGAACTTGAATTCCCTTAATTCCCCCAATTTAAGCAATTCTCTTAATTTCACCTTCAGCCCTTCCCTTCTCTCCTCAGGCTTTCAATTCCCTCACTCTATCCCCTATTCTGCTGGAGAAAGAAAATGACACAATAATGGAGATACCATGACCCATGGGTCGAATGTTAGCTGGACCCTCAGGCTTCCCATCAATTCCTCTGTGAGTCTCGAATCAGCTTCTTTTCCAGGTTTTTCATCAACTGCTTTAATCCATTATCTGGCTCTTCAAGCCCTCACCTCTCAATTTCAGCCAATGACCTTGCTTCCTCTCTTGGGAAAATTGGTGCTTTTAGACATGTTGGGTATTCTAGTCAAGGTACTTTGTTCCAAACGACAGAATCCAGTCCCCTGGTTAAATGCCACATTTGTTATTTTGTGGTTCAGAGACTCTCCAGCAGGACTAGAGAGCCATCTTAGAAACCACCCAGTTGTAATCACACCGCAGGGGCTGTTGTAACAAACACCAGTGTCAGAATCCACACTTTAGCTTGCACCAGGCACTAGTGATTCTTCGAACTGGACAACAGAAGTTTTGTGCCTATTATGTTTGAAGAGAGAAACATTTCATCTCACTTGCCAAACTATAGAGTCTGCCTGTACCTAGCTCCTCCCCTTGCTCCTCCCAAGTCAGTATCTCCTGCAGAAACATCCGACTGGTGGAAGCTGGATGACGTGCCTGCACCTTTACCATGAGGGATGCCAGAAGCATGAGGTCTGGTTTCTACCTTGTGGAGGCGGGATTCCTATGTGGACAATTCATGACGTGAGTCAAAGACACTTGGCAGTTCCGCAGATGGCGAACGGCTCCTGTAATCTGTTTCAGTGTCTCATCCCTCTACCTGAAAATGTATCTGCCTCCAGACCCGTCCTGTCTCCTTTCTTCCAGTCCCAGGACCTTCACTTTGAAGGTTGTCTTCTTTATTTCTGTGCTTAAATCCACCCTTTCTGCTTCTTCCATGTTCTCTATCTATCATAGCCTCTCCTTGCTATACCCCGAGTCTTCTCTATTTTGACAGTTATCCTCAGTCAGTTAACACATTCAACTTTCTCCTGTCCTAAAAATCCCTTGTTAGAATCCCTCAGTTTGCTTTCCCTTGCTTCCCAAGCTAGCTAGCTTTAAAAAAAATCCTCACTCAAGGATATGTTTACTAATTTGAGAAAGAGAAGAAGGGAGAGAGAGAGAGAGCCATCCACAAGCTACCTCCCATACACAGCCCAACTGGGGTTCAAACCTGCAACCTAGGTGTGTGCCCTGATCAGGAATTGAACCTGTGACACTTTGGCGTGTGATAGGACACTCCAACCAACTGAGCCACCTGGCCAGAGCTCAAACTAACTTCTTGAAATAGTAAATTAATCACTTGCATTTTTTACTGTGATAGAACCTATTACTGTCAGGCCCTGGCTCGCTCCTCAGTGCTCACTATGCCGTCTTCCCACCGAAACTGCTCTCGTTCTGCCAAACAAATGTCCTTGAGGGACTTGTCAAATCTGATGAACACAGGTTAATCCCTAACTTACCGGACTCCCTGCTGCTTTTGACCCTGGAGATGTCTCCTTCTTGAAACTTGCTACGTCTTTGTGTTCCGTGGACGCCCACTCTCCTGGCCCTTTTACCGTTCGAGTCAGTCCTTCTCTGGTCTTTCGCAGGCTCTCTTCTCCCACTTGCTCCTTCAGTGCTGGGGTTCCCAAATCCATGACCCCTCTGAGTCCAGCGAGTCGATAAAGAAGTTCTTCATTCTCATTAACATCTGACTGGTACGAGTAGGAAACCCTCTATCGGTACAACCTGGGCTCTCAGAGCAAACACACCAGGTAAAAAGACTTTTACTCTTTATTTAATAAACTGTCTCCTTCTGTAGGCTATGGCCTGCAAATATGGTGTCGTGAAGATGACAAACACCTGTTATAGCGCCATAATATAAAAAATTGGGGGGCACAAATTTTATGTTTGAATTGCAAGCATAAATTCATTGCTTTTACTAAGGCAACTGGAAAGAATTGGTGGGTTAGTTTTATCTAGGAGCTGTCTGGTTCATCTTAACTGGCCTCCCTCAGCAGGAGTGGTGACCGTCAGTCCCATGATTGCAGGAGTCCTTTGGTCCTCAGCCTGTAGGATGAGGCACACTCTGACAGCCCCTATTCTGTCAAACCTGTTGGAAGCCCCAGTGGAAATGCTTCCTTTCCCTCCCTGGGGACATGATGGCTGCTGGCACGAGGCCGCCATCCCCCCCTCCCTCCCGCACTGCCACCGTGTGCTGCCCTCTGCCCAGCGTGGCGGGAGCTGTACCCTTTGTGGCTGGGAGCCTCCCCTCCCTCCCCAAGTGGGTCTCAGTGTGACCGTCAGCAGTCCTGGGACCCGTGTCTGTTTTCCCACATCGGGGTGGCTGTGTTCTTTGGCAGGGAACTAACTTCACCAGAGGACAAAAGAACCTTCTTGTAGCTCCACCTTTGGAAATGGTGAGTTAGTCATTACTCATATTTTACTAAATTTACTAAAACACCTATGCTTCCAGAAATGAGTCCTCACCAGCTGAATGCTATTCTCTTGCAGAAGTGGTCATGACTGAAAGAGAGATGACAGTTTGGAACAGAATAAAGACCAGTTGGAGAATAGAATGAGGAGGGGGGACACCTGGAGTCTTACCTTGGCTCTGACAGAACAAACAGGGGACCGGAGCTCAGTCTCCTTTCTCCAGTCCCACCTTCCTCATCTATACGATTAAAGACTCAAAAGGAAAGGAGGCTAAAGGTCTAAATTTGTATACTTTCATGAATCTTGAGAAACAGACAATGGATTAACCTGACATTGTGAGTTAAATGTAATTAAAGGCATACTCAATAAATTTCCAGGTTCCAACAAATATTCTAGACCTATGTGTACAAAAGAATAAATGGGGAAGATTTTGAAAATGCCGATAGTCTCTAGTTTCCAGCCCATGACAAGATTTATCCAGTTGTCAATCCATTTCTATTTCTTTTTCTTTTTGTAAACCAGGCATGCAATGTTGGAAGTTTTAGTGTGAGATGATTCAAGACTAGAAATTCTGGTTGTGTCAGTAGGACCGACTGCTTTTTTTTGATTCATAAGGATCAGTCTAAAATTCAAAGGCAAGCCAGTTATATTTAGCATTCACGTGTCAAATAAACATTGGTCAGGGGCGGCAGTTAGCTGGAGCTTTGCTGAGAACAAGGGCCTAGGAGCACGCAGAGGTCCCTTTGGTATTCTTCAGCGTGATGCACCTAGATCAATTTCAAAACTACTCTGCCATCTGCCAAAGCTCAAAGGACATCAGATCCAGGTCCCGTCATGCAATGGTGACTAGCCAGAGGCTGGTGACGTATGAGGCTTTGGAGACTAAAATGCTTGGTAGGTTTCCAGCACTCGGAATGCCTTTCCAAATCTATTGCACGTTCCCCAGCTTGCCCCTCTCCCCCCCAAAGGAAGCAGTACAAATGCATGGACACCCGTGTGAAACTGAAGTATCTGAGCTATTCTCAGTTGCAAGCTTCCAGGATCTGATCTAGCTGTCAAAAAATACATATGAAGTGTCAGTGTGTCCTCAGCACAGTAGTAGGTAGGAGAATATGTAAAAAGCAAGATAGACAAGGTTTCCTCAGATCAACACGGCAAAGATTTCAAGTAGGTGTCTACTAGGTCTCCATAATAGGAGACCAGGATTATTTGGGCAAAAAAATCACTCACACTTTGAATGTCCTGATCACCTACTTCCCTGAAAGGCCCATTGGCCACAGAAAGGACACAGGAGTGATTTAGGACTCAAGACACTGATGAAGAGGTATCTTTCCTCATCTAAGAGCCTCATCTGATTCAGGCTTCTATGCCCCACCCCCTCTCCCCAACTTTTCTCCTTGTCTGGCTCTAGTTTTGTCCTGTGTTTATTTACCATGTACTTTGAAATGGAAAAAAAACTGACTAAATAACTGTAATTTCATCCTGGATGTCATCTACCGACCTCCAGGGGGTCACCTGGAGGTCATCTACCTTGAGAGTTGTGTAACTCTAGCTCACAGAGCACGGAGGTCATCCACCTGGAGAGCTGCGTGGCTGCAGCTCACGTAGCACAGAGAGAGAGCAGAGTGTAGGTGCGTGTAAAACGCTGGGTACAGAGGATGCAGCAAAGAGTTATGTGAACTTCGTCATTTCTCACCTCTTATTTTCTCTTGCTGATTTATAGAGCTGGGTAGAGTCCTGAGGGAAGGGACTGGAGACCATTGTCCTGTGTGGACTGGTGTCTCCTTTAAGAAACAATTCACATGACCTTCAGAGAAAAAAT